CTGGGGGCCAGGACGCCTGGGTTCTCTCCTCAGCTCGGGGAGGGGAGTGGGGCTGGTGGGTTAGAGCAGGGGGCTGGGAGCCAGGACTCCTGGGTTCTCTCCCTGGCTCTGGGAGAGGAGGGGGGCTGGTGGGTTAGAGCGGGGGGGGCAGGTTGGGAGCCAGGACTCCTGGGTTCTCTCCTCAGCTCTGGGAGAGGAGGGGGGCTGGTGGGTTAGAGCACGGGGAGGGCTGGGAGCCCGGACGCCTGGGTTTGATCCTTTTCTCCCTCGTGTCTCTGCAGGGGACGCTCTACGCCGTGACCCCTCTGCCTTGGTGCCCCCACCTGGACTCTCTCCAGCCCCTTCCCCCGGCCGGGCTGGACGTGCTGGCGCCGTGTGAGGAATGCGGCAGCCAGGGCGAGAACTGGGTCTGCCTGGACTGTTACCGGGTGAGACGGTGCCCCTCACTCCCGACCCGCAGCCCCCTGCCAGCCCAGCCCTGCCCCCCATCCCCCCAGCCCTGCCGGTGCCCCTCCCTCCCGACCCGCAGCCCATGTGGCCGTTAACCCTTTCTCTCCCCAGGTGCTCTGCGGGCGTTACGTCAAGCAGCACATGCTGGCTCATGGCTCCGTTTCCGGCCACCCCCTGGTGCTGAGTTACGCCGACCTGTCGGTCTGGTGCTACACCTGTCAATCATACGTCCATCACCCGGTAAGCCACGCCTCCCTTCATGGTCACATGACACAGCCCCCCCTCCAGGCTGGTCAGGGTTCCCCCTCTACCCCTGCCTATATGAGGGGTGGGAGCAGGTGTCAGATGGGGGGGGGTGGTTGCTGATTGGCTGGGGCTGAATGGGTTAATTCTTGAGGCTGGAATGTTCCTCCCCCTGCCTTCGTTGCCATAATGGAAAGTCCCAAGTTTGGGAATAACACTCCCCCGTCCCATTGCTATAATGGAACATCCCCTCATGAGCAAGTCACACACCTGACCCACCTCCACCCCTGCTGTAATGGAATATTCCAGCCCCAGGAGTAACCCCCCCCACTTCATAAGATAATAGAATGGTCTGATGCCATGTGTGCCCCCCCCCCCCCATGGGAGGTAATTTCCTGGGTGGGGCATTCCATTGTGTTGAAGGAATTGGACCGTCCCATTCTCTGGCAACGGGGGAGTGCACCAATCCCTTCTCGCCAGTGATAATGTGATTCCTGGGGTGGGATGGTCCATTGTGGTGCCAGGAGGAGTATACTCTGCATGGGACTATTCCATGTTCTGGGGGGGGGGGGGAGAGGAACATTCCATTACAGCAGGAGGTGACTGCCACTCTGGGCTGGGCTTCTCCGTCACTGGTCGCTAGGGTCCCCCTCTGCAGGCTGTTGGCTGAGTCCATTCTCTGCTGACTGCGGGGGGTGGGGAATTACTGCTGGCTGGGATGATCCATTCTCCCTGGCTGTGTCATGCCTTAGGGTGGGATATACTATTGGGGGGGGGTTAGTTCCTGGGGCAGCCCATTCCCTTATGTAGCAGTGGGCAATGGGTGTGTGCAGGGGGTGCTTGGGCGCGCTTGCAGGGACTGTTCCATTCTCTCCGGAGAGTGGGGGGTGTATGCATGGGGGCTGAGACATTCCATTATTGCCGTGGGGGGGTGGGCGGTGGGGCAGGCCAGCCCATTCCATTCTGACCTCCGTTCTCTCCCTGCCCCAGACCCTGCTGCCAGCCAAGGCCCTGGCTCACCGCATGAAGTTCGGGGAGGACCCGGCCACTGGGCTCTGAGCCCTGTGCCACAGGAAGGGGGGCGGTGTTCAGATCCCCCCCCCGCTCCTGCCATGATGGACCAACCCACTCTCTTAAAGGGCTACAGCCGTGCCAAACAACTCACCAGCAGCGAGGAAGGACTCTTTCTCCCCCCCCCCCCCCCCCCCCCCCCCCCCGCGGGGCCCGGCCCCCCCCCCCCCGGGGGGGGGGGGGGGGTCCCCCCTTTCCCCCCCCCCCCCCCCATAAACCTGGGACCAGCTGCATTAACATTAACAGCCCCTGGGCTCTCCCCAAGGGGGGGTGGGGGCTGACTCTGTGGATCAGGTGCAAGATAAAGGCTCCTTTATAAATCCTGGCATGTGCTCTGCCAAACTCCAGATGGCCGGCAGGACCAGAGGAACATGGCCCTCCGTTTTTGTTAGTGTAGGACCTACAATAAGTGGGCTGGGGGCCAGGATCCATGGACACAATGCGATGTGGGATGGGGTATGAGCCTTTCCCCTCGAGGGGGCACCTGCCCCGGGCGGACGACAGGCGCTCGCTGTCTTTGCTTTTCGGGTTGATTACTGCAATACAAGGTTCATGACGCGTGTGCCGTTGTGCCCCCTTCAATCGCTGCTCGCCTGTGCGCCAGGCCCGGCTGGGAGCGCACCCGCAGACCCCTCGCCCCCAGCAAGGTGCCGTCTCGTCCCGTTCGCCTACTGCCAGAGCAGGACAAGGTCCTACGGGCGTCACTTTAACGGAGCCCCCAGCAGCTCCCCGAACCCGCAGCCACAAACACAGCGGTGCCGAATAACTAGGAACCGCTTTTCAGCGCTTACGGGGCGCGGGCGCAGCTCGGAGTTGGTGACAAAGGGAAAATCACAAGCTTCACCACGCCAGTAATTCTAGCAGTGAACGTCGTTCCCACCCCCACCCCTTCATCGTACTTCTGGCTCATGAGAACGCTGTCCTGTTAGGCCCAGCCCCTCCCATAGGCTCCAGGGGGATTTCTTTGTCTTCCCCATGCTCTTGTTCCATTGTGTAAAGGGGGGTGAGGCAGGTAATGTCACCGGCTGTGGGGCACAGGTGCTATTTAGCATCTCTCAAAGTCCTCCAGGGCTGACATCTGGGACTTTTGTTCATGGTCCTGTAGTTATGTCTAAGGGGTTAGTCTGCGGATGTTTTCCAGACGCACAATGTGTTTCAGTAACAGTCATAGAGCAAAATCTCCTAACTCCCTATCTGATGTTGATACACACATTGTAACAGGACAATGATGTTCAGCAGATTATGGCTTTTCAAATGATACCGCACACGGCATACTTTGTACAAAATATCATAACCATACACAAGAGGGGGAGGGGGGGGGGGGGGGAGTTTACAGCGTATTACAATGCGACTGAGGCTGGGGTGTGTCTGTGCCACTAGGCAAAAGGAGCAGCAGTAGAGGGTAAAAGCCAGGCTATTTCCCTTCCAGGCAGTTGAGTGTGAAACCAGGGGGTCTGCATTCAATTCCCGTCATGCCCCAGCTGTTTCAAACTGAGCTGCAGCTCAGTGCTGGGTGAGTCCTTCCAGTGCAGCGTTGTGTGCAGCTGTTGCCCCGCCCCAGAGGTTGCTGCATCTCGGTGCCAGGTGAGAGCAGGAGGGGTGGTGGATCTCACAGCTGGAGTTTAATGTTCCCATAGCTAGAAGTCCATGAACAGCGCTCCCCCCCCGCACGCGATTCCGGCCTTGGGTGGGTGGGGGCCCGGCCCTGGGGGCCTCAGAAGTCGTCATCGTCGCAGATGTCCAGGTAGACGTCAAAGGCCTCGCGGTTGCAGTTGCCGTCGGGCGTGAAGACGTATTTGTGGAAGGTGCCGTCCACGCAGATCGCTGCAGGGGGGGATGGACATGGGTGTGAGATGGGGGGGAGGGACCCCTACCCTACCCCCCCCCCCCCCCGGTCCCCACTGACCAATAACGGAGTTGACGGTCTTGGCGGAGCTGCGGCCGAAGGCACAGACGCAGGCCGACTCCGCTGGCACCGTGAAGTTGGCCAGGCTCCACTGCGAGTCCACGTACTGGCCGATCACCGGGCCCACCTTGCCCACGCGCGCCAGCCTGGGGAGAGACGCAGCGGGGGCACCTGAGCCGTGGGGAGGGCCCTATGTGGAGCAGGGAGTGGGGGGTCCCTGGGGGGTATCTGAGCGGTCGGAGGGGAACCTGGGGGGGTACCTACGTGGAGCGGCACCTACACGGAGCAGGGGCCCCGGGGGCGTATCTACATGGAGCGGTGGTGGTGGGGCCCGAGGGGGATACCTACGCGGAGCAGCGGTTGCGGCGTCGCAGGGGGGTCCCTACGCGAAGCGGGGCGGCGGGGGGGTCACAGGGGGGTACCTACGCAGAGCGGGGGGGCCCGAGGGGGATACCTACGCGGAGCGGCGGTTGAGGCGCGTGTCCTTGAGGGCGAAGACGTGAACCGTCCCCTTGTCACTCGACGCGCAGAGAAACGACGAGTCATGGCTGAAGTTGATGCTGTGGAGATCGGGGGGTGGGGGGGTTTACAGAGCGCCGCGTGCTTCCCCCCCCCCCAGCAGTGCCGCGAGTTCTCCCCAGCAATGCCCCCCCCCAGGGGGTGCTGGGGGGGTACATGCCCAGGGCTCTCACCAGTATAGGGTGGCAGGGTTTGTGCCCAGGGGAGGGGGCAGTGCCGGGGGGGGGGGGCGATGGGGGGGGGGGGCGGGGGGGGGGGGGGGGTCCGTGCCCGGGGGGGTCCATGCCGGGGCTCTCACCAGTACAGGGTGGCCGGGTCCGTGCCCCGGCGCAGCTCCACCAGCTTCTCCTTGCTCTGGGTGTCGAAGAGGCGGATGAGGGTGCCCTGGCGGGAAGCCGACGCCACCACCGTGCCTGGCTGGTTGAGGGAGACGCAGGCGATCTCGCCCTGGTGGGCGTTGATGGTGAACGGCGCCGACGAGGTGCCCGGCTGGGTGCTCGACAGGTCCTGGGGGTGGGGGTGGGGCTGAGACCGGGCTGCCCCAGTGTGCGCTGCCCCTCACAGTGACCCCCCTCCTGGACACCCCATGCTGCCCCTCACCTCTGCAGGAAAGGGAAATGGATCCCTCCCCCCCTCGTGCCCCCCCACTCACCACCAGTTGCAGGCTGCCACACTTGTGCCCGGGGAACACCAGCAGCTGTTTCTCCAGACTGGGACAGAGATCGCAGAGCCCTGGGGGGGAGAGCAGGAGGCTGGGGGGTGCCAGGCTGGGCAGGGGGCTCCGCGGGGAGGGGGCGTCATGCTGGGGGGGTCTGTACCTTTGGGGTTGTCCCGCGTGTCGAACTCGAAGAGCTTGGTGGGGTTCTCCGGGAAGGAATAAACGTAAATACGGTTCCTCAGCACAATGATGATCCTGAAACACAAGAGCCCGGACACCTGGGTTCTCTCCTGGCGAGGGGAGGGGAGTGGGGTCTGGTGGTTAGAGCAGGGAGGGGCTGGGAGCCAGGACTCTTGGGTTCTCTCCCCGGCTCTGAGAGGGGAGTGGGGTCTAGTGGTTAG